GCTACACTATTATAAAATCAGAGAATGAAAATTAAAGGGGATTTTCAAATTGATTTAATATGCCACTCGTTTTATGAATAACTAGTTCCCAAAGAAGTTATCTTCATTCCTCATGGTGACACAGCCTCTTGCTGGCAAAGTCTTACCTAAAATTCCAACTTCTCAATTTTAGCTCTGTGCCTTCCCTACCATTCTTCCTGGCTGGTTACTTAAGTTTTCAAGCCTATTAAATTAAATATTAAATGCACTACCACTGCAAAAAAAAAAAAAAAAAAAAAAAAAAGATTTCTTCCTTTAATAAACAGAAAAATTATCATCCTCATTTTCCTTATTAACAGTGTTTCCATATATGTCAACAATATTAATTGGAATACTAAAGTTACACTAATGATGCATACTGTATCTAGAGAATGTGTGAACAAGATGAGGGAAAATGAAGTTTCATAGCTTCTCTTCTCTATCCTTAATCATAAAACAGAGTTGTAAAATCATTTCTGTTCAGATACCACGGTGTTAACTAAAATAACACATGCATGGCATACACACACACACACACACACAATTTTAATACCTGAGCAAGAGTTCTCTAGGGTTATATAATTCTGAGCTTATGTATTTCTTTTTTTTAATTTTTATTTTTTAAATTTTATTTATTTATTTATTTATTTTAAGATTTTATTTATTTATTTAACAGAGAGAGAGACAAGAGCACAAGCAGGGAGAGCTACAGAGGGAGAGGGAGAAGCAGGCTTCCCGCTGAGCAGGGAGCCCGATGCAGGGTTTGATCCCAGGACCCTGTGATCATGACCCGAGCCAAAGGCAGATGCTTAACAACTAAGCCACCCAGGCGCCTCTGAGATTTAAGTTTCATGAAATATGCTGATATAAGAATCAAATTCTCAATTAATGAACAAATTAACATTTCATGAAGATTCTAAAATTATGTCTTATTTGCTAAGCTTACTAAATTTCAAAGGACTGAAATCTCTATTATCTTGCATTGTTCCACTCATTTACATGACCCCCCTCCTCTCCAAACAAACAACCCTCAGATCACAATCAGGAGGCTGACTACAGGTGACATATATCTGTTCTACAAATGTAATTCACAAAATGCAAATATACTACGCTTGTGATGTTTTTCTTTCTTTCTTTTTTTTTTTGCACAACTAGTGGTTAATACAAATACACCTCTCTAAAATTTCACATCATTGTGCTGGCACATTCAGAAATTTCTTTAATCTACAATTAGGACAATGATGTATGTTGTTCTTAAGAGAGAGGGACTTCAGGCACCTGGGTGGCTCAGTTGGTTAAGCGACTGCCTTCGGCTCAGGTCATGATCCTGGAGTCCCGGGATCGAGTCCCGCCCGCATCGGGCTCCCTGCTCGGCAGGGAGTCTGCTTCTCCCTCTGGCCCTCCTCCCTCTCATGCTCTCTGTCGCTCATTCTCTCTGTCTCAAATAAATAAATAATAAAAAAAACTTAAAAAAAAAAAAAAAGAGAGAGGGACTTCAAAAGCATTTAGTAAATAGTATGGTAGGAGAATAAAGATTATAGCACTGAAGTCTCAGAGAATATCATGAAAACTATAAAATAAACACAACATCAGATCATCTTGAAAGGGCTGTTACCATTTAGCCTGCAACAAACACATTTATCAAAGGCACATTTTATCCAACCAGGGAGCTGAAATGTAAATTATACTGAGACTATATAGGCAGCACAGACTCTAGAGCCAAACTGCCTGAATCTGAGTATCAGCTCCACTAGTTTCCAAAGCTATGCAAGTTTGGGGAACTTACTCAGGTTCTCCACGGCTTAGTTTCCTCAATTCAATGGAGATAATAATACTCTTTAGCTCACAGGATAAGGATTAAGTGATTACATATATATGGTGCCTGGTACATATTATTTAAGTGTTTTATTACAGTTGTTGTTATTGTTTGCATAAAGAGAGCATTTACAATTCCCTAACAACTGAGCCAACCCCTATACTTGCATTTATCTCATTTAATCCTCCAACAACCTAAGGGGTAGGTATTGGTGATTATTGCTATTTTACAAATAAGGAAACTAAGCCACAGGAAAGATAAGGGCAGAGTTAATAATAACAGAAACAGGCGTCAAACCCAGCTGAATGGCTACAAATCCTCAAACTAATCATTTGTTACATAATACTGTCCCCCAAAATGTAGAAAAATACTGAAATTTAATAAAATTTAGGCTCTTCACATAAATCTAGCAGGCTTCTTTTTAAAATACCCAATGTTAAAAAAAATATCAAGTTGAAGAATAACTAAAATGGAATAATTTCTTCACATTTCAAGACTCATTTTAGTATATCTTTAATTAGAAGTTCCTTTGTTAAAAAAAAAATTCAATCACACTTGTTAAAAATGGTATAGTTCATTTAGGACCAGTAGATATTGGGACCACTGCAATGGGATTTTACAATGGAAGAGAAAGATGCAGCTCAACTCTAAGTACAGCATGGGCAAGTGGGAATTTATGGCCCAGGAAAAGGGTGGGAGTCAGTGGATGAAAAATCACTAAGAGGCAACATCAAAGATAAGGGGAGATTCTAGCTAAACCAACCAAACAGGATTGTTGCTGAAGCTAGCCCAGGTGATGAGACATCCCCTTGGGGAAGGTGGAGGATGAGGAACCTGATCAGGTATCTAGGATGATCAGATATCAAGGTGGGGGGGGGGGCTGATTGAATGAACTTACAATCCAACCTTACACCTAAAGGAGCTAGAAAAAGAACAAAAGAAGGCCAAACCAATAGAAGGAAGGAAATAATAAAGATTAGAGCAGAAATAAATGAAATAGAGACTAAAAAAAAAAAAAAAAAAAGTTTTAACAGATCAATGAAACCAGAAGCTGGTTCTTTGAAAAGATAACAAAATTGTAAATCTTTAGCCAGACTCATTTAAAAAAAAAAAAAAAAGACCAAGAGGGAAGACTCAAATAAATAAAATCAGAAATGAAAGAAAAGTAACAACCAACACCACAGAAATACAGGGGATTATAAGGGAATATTATAAAATATATGCCTACAAATTCAATAACCTAAAAAAATGGATAAATTCCAAAACTGAATCAGGAAGAAATAGAAAATTTGAACAGACTGATTTCTAGCAATGAAACTGAATAGGTAATAAAAAAAACTTCCAGCAAGCAAAAGTCCAGGACCAGATGGCTTCACAGGTGAATTCTAGCAAACATTAAAAGAAGAGGTAATACCTATTCTTCTCAAACTATTCCAAAAAAATAGAAGAGGAACGAAAGCTTCCAAATGCATTCTATGAGGCCAGCAATACCTTAATACCAAAACCAGATAAAGACAAAAACAAAAAAAGAAAACTACAGGTCAATATCTCTGATAAACATAGATATAAAAATCCTCAACAAAATATTACCAAACTGAATCTAACAGTACATGAAAAAAATCAATCACCAGGATAAAGTGGGATTTATCTCATGGATAAAAGGGTGGTTCAATTTTCACAAATCAATGTGATAACATCACATTAACAAGAGAAAGGATAAAAACCACATGATCATCTCAACAGATGCAGAAAAGGCATTTCAGAAGGTACATCCATTCTTGATAAAAGTTCTCAACAAAGTAGGCTTAGAGGGAACATACCTCAGCATAATAAAGGCCATAATATGAAAAACCCGCTAACATCATAATCAATGATGAAAAAGTGAGCTTTTCCTCTACGTGCAGGAACAAGAATGTCCACTCTTGCCACTTCTTCAACACAGTACTGGAAGTCCTAGCCACAGCAATCAAACAAGTAAAAGAAATAAAAGGCATCCAAATTGGTAAAGAAGTAAAACTTTCACTATTTGCAGAAGATCCTATATATAGAAAACCCTAAAGACTCCACCAAAAAACTACTAGAACTCATATATGATTTCAGTGAAGTCACAGGATACAAAATTAATATATCAGTTGCATTTCTTTACAATAATAATTATCAGTTGCATTTCTTTACACTAATAATGAACAGAAAGAGAAATTAAGAAAACAATCCCATTTACAATTGACCAAAAATAATAAAATACAGAAGAATAAACTTAACCAAGGAGGTGTACTCTGAAAACTATGAAACACTGATGAAAGAAACTGAAGACAACACAAATGAAAAGATATCTCATGCCCATGGATTAGAAGAACCAATACTGTTAAAAATGTCCATAAGCAATCTACAGATTTAATGCAATCACTATCAAAATACCAACATTTTTCACAGAACTAGAACAAACAATTCCTAAAATTTGTATGGAACCACGAAAGACCCCAAAGAGCCAAAGCAATCCTGAGAAGGAAAAACAAAGCTTGAGTATCACAATTCCAGAGTACAAGTTATATTACAAAGGTGTAGTAATCAAAACTGTACGGTACTGGCACAAAAGTGGATACATAGATCAATGGAACAACATAGAGAGTCTAGATATAAACCCAAGCATAAATGGTCAATTAAACTGCAAAAAGAGGTCATGATATACAGTGGAGAAAAGATAGCCTTTCAACAAAGGGTGCTGGGAAAATGCGACAACTACATGCAAGAAAACCAAAACCAAAAACAATGGACCATTTCCTTACACTATGCACAAAAATAAACTCAAAGTGGATTAAAGACCCAAATGGGACACCTAAAACCATGAATCTCCTAGAAGAAAACATAGGCAGTAATTTCTTTTACATCAGCCTTAGCAACGTTTTTCTAGATATGTCTCCTCAAGCAAGAGAAACAAAAGCAAAATTAAACCATTGAGACTACACCAAAATAAAAAGCTTTTATACAGTGAGGGAAACCATCAACAAAAGCGTAAGACAAACTACATGATAGGAGAAAATATTTGCAAATGATATATCTGATAAGGGGTTAATATCTAAAATATATAAAGAACTTATACAACTTAACACCAAAGAACCAAATAATCTCATTAAAAAATGGGAAGAGGACCATTTTTCCAAAGAAGACATACTAATGGCCAACAGACACATGAAAAGATGCTCAACATCACACACCATCAGGGAAATGCAAATCAAAACAATGAAATATCACTTCACACCAGTCAAAACAGCTAAAATAAAAAAGATAAGAAATAGTAAGTGCTGGCAAGCACTTCTGGAGAAAAAGGAACCCTCATGCACTGTTGGTGGGAATGCAAATTGGTGCAGACACTGCTGAAAACAGTACGGAAGTTCCACAAAAAATTAAAAACCGAATTACCTTATGATCCAGTAATTCCACTGCTGGGTACTCACCCAGATAAAACAAAAACACTAATTTGATAAGATATATGCACCCCTACGTGTACTACAGCATTATTAACAATAGACAAGATATGGAAGCAAGCCAAGTAAATAAATATCTATCAACAGATAAATGGGTATAGTGTGTGTGTGTGTGTGTGCATGAATATAAATGAATGAATATGAATATTACTCAGCCATAAAAAGGAATGAGATCTTGCCATTTTCAATAATATGGATGGACCTACCATCCATGGACCTACCATGGGTATTGTGCTAAGTGAAATAAGTCAGAGAAAGACAAATACCATATGATTTCACTCATACTTGGAATTTAAACAAATACAGATGATAAGACAGAGAAAGAAAAAACAAAAAAGCAGACTCTTAAATATAGATAACAAAATGGTGGTTGCCAGAGGGGGAGTGGGTGGGGGGATAAGTGGAATAGATATAAAGGATTAACAGTACACTTACCATGATGAACACTGAGTAATTTATAAAATTGTTAAATCATTAAATTGCACACCTGAAACTAATATAAAAACACTATACGTTAATTATACTTCAGTAAAAAAAATAAATTAAAAAAAAAGTGGGGCACCTAGATGGCTCAGTCAGGATCCAGCCCCCATATCAAGCTCTGCACTCAGCGGGGAGTCAGCTTCTCCCTCTCCCCTTGCCCCTCCTCCAGCTTGTGTGTTCTCACTCTCTCTCCCTCTCTCAAATAAATACGTTAAAAAAAAGAGAGAGAGAATACTGTTTAAGATTTTAATGCTCCTCCAAATTCATCCACGTTTTCAACAAAAAGCTAATCATAATCCCAGTAAGCTGTTTTGGTCCTTAAAAAAACTGTAGTTAAATATACATAACATTATCCCTTTAACCATTTTTAAGTGCACAGTTCTAAGGCATTGAGTAGATTTATATATTTTTTGAGAGGTGGGGGGAAAAGGAGGGGCAGAGGGAGAGGGAGAGAATCTTAAGCAGGCTCCATGCCCAGAGTAGAGCCCCATGCTCATCTCACAACCCTGAGATCATGACATGAGCCAAACTCGAGTTGGACACTTGACTAAGCCACCCGGGCGCCATGGTATTAAGTACATTTATACTGCTGTGCAACCATCATCATCATCCATCTCCACTTTTCATTTTCCCCAACTGAAACTGTACCCTTTAAACAGCATAAGGTCTTCAAGGTTCATCCACATTTCATCATGGGTCAGAACTTCCTTACTTTTTAAGGCTGAATAATATTCCATTGTATGTATATTCCCTATTTTTTTAATCCATTCATCCATAAATGGATACTTGGGTTGCTTCCACCTTTTGGCTATTGCCTCTAATGCTGCTATGAATACAGATGTACAGTGTCTTAAGTCCCTGCCTTCAATTCTTTTGGACATATACCTAGAACTGGAACTGCTAGATCATATGGCAATTCTGTTTTTAATATTTTGAGGAATTGCTATACTGTTTTCCTTATAGTGCATGTCATCAACAGTGCACAAGGGACCCAATCTCATCAAATCATCACCAGCACTTGCTAATTTGTTAGTTTTTAAATAGCCATTCTAATGGTTTGAAGTGGTATCTTGTGGTTATCATTTGAATTTCTCTAATGAGTGATGTTGATGAACTTTTCATGTGTTTGTTGGTTGCTGTATATCTTTGTTGGAGAAATGTCTATTCCAGTCCTTTGCTAATTTTTAATCATGTTTTTTGTTTTGTTGATGAGTTGCAGTTCTTTATGCATTCCCAATTATTAATTCCTTATCAGATATATGATTTGCAAATATTTTCTCCTATTTTGGGGGCTGCCTTTTCACTGTTGATACTGTCCTTTGATACACAAAAGTTTAATTTTGAATAAAATCCAACTTATCTATTTTTGTGGTTGTTGTTGCTGCCTGTGCCTTTTATGGTATTATATACAGGTTTCTTTTTTTTTTTTTTTTAATGAAAATGGACAAGTGTTTCTGACATATGTATTAAATGCAAAAGAACTACAAGCACAAAAAAATGCACTATAAGGCTTCAGTAATCAAGGCAATTGGTACTGGCACAGGAATAAATACATAGCTTAATGAAACAGAATACAGTTTTAAAAGGACCCACATTTATTTTTTTTTTTAAGATTTTATTTATTTGAGAGAGAGAGAACGAGCAGTGGGGAGGGGCAGAGGGAGAGGGAGAGAGAAGCAGACTCCCTGCTGAGCAGGAAGCCTGATGTGGGGCTCCATCCCAGGACCCAGAGATCATGACTTGAGCTGATGGCAGATGCTTATCGACTGAGCCACCGAAGCGCCCAAAAAGGGCCCACATTTAAAAAGCCAACTGATTTTTTTAAAAATTTTCATTGTTATGTTAATCACCATACATTACATCATTAGTTTTTGATGTAGTGATCCATGATTCACTGTTTGTGCGTAACACCCAGTGCTCCATGCAGAACGCGCCCTCTTTAATACCCATCACCAGGCTAACCCATCCTCCCACCCCGCTCCCCTCTAGAACCCTCAGTTTGTTTTTCAGAGTCCATCATCTCTCATGGGCCAACTGATTTTTAACAGGGACACCAAAACAACTTAATGTAGAAAGCCAAGCATTCTCAATAGATGGTGCTGGAAAACTGGAAACCCACGTGAGTTAATAAATAAATCTTCCTTAACTCTACCTGAGATCACAAACAAAAAGTAATTTCAAATGGATCACATATCTCAATATGAAAGTTAAAGTTATAAAGCTTCTAGAAGAAAATGAAGGTGACAATCTTTGTAACCTGGACCTAGGCAAAGGATTCTTAGATAGGAAACAAAAGCAATAATCATAAAAGAAAAAGGTGCTTAATTGGACTTCAGCAAAATTAGTAGCTTCTGCTCTTTAAACGATACCATTAAAGACATGAATAGGCAAGCCATGAATAAGGAGAATATGTTTAAAAACATTTATTTATGAAAGGACTTACATCCAAAATATATTAAAAACTCCTACAACTCAATACTAAACATATAACCCAATCTTTAAAAAAAAAAAAAATGGGCAAAAGAATTAGTTCTCAAAGACATGCAAATAGCCAGAGAGTGCATGAAAATGTACTCAACATCCCTGTATATGATATTATATATATATATATATATATATATAACAGAGTAATGTAAATTAAAATCACAGTGGGATACCCTCACATACCCATTAAAACAGCTGATATCAAATAAAAACTAAACATATCATTTACATGAAATTCTACAAGAGGCAAAACTAACATAAGGTTGAAAAGAATAGCAAAATGAGTGCCTTTGAGAAGACTGATTGCGGAAGGGCACAGCTTCTTGGAATTGATGAAAATGTCCCGGATCTTATTAGAAATGGGAGTTTCATGAGTGCATACTTTTCTGGAAAACTATCAATTTATTCACCTAACATTTATGCATTTCATTGTATGTAAGTTATTACCACCCTCCAAACACACATAAACAACACTAGTGAACTTAGCAGATTTAATTGTTGTAGTTGTTTGGGTTGGCAATTCTGAAACTACTTCCTGTATATTCTAAACTGAAGCAAACAGAGAACTACTGGGCATGATATTTTTAAATAAATTTTAATAAATGGAAACAGTATTTCCATGAAACTGTTTAAGCTTGTTTCATCATTTCATTATTATGTTAGAATTTACAATTTTAGGGACACTGAATTGTTGTTTGTCTATGTAGTTGACATAGTCTAGATTTTAAAACACTGAAACAAAACATGTATGATTGAGTTTCTATTTAGAGATAGCCATTTTTTTACTTTTAATTTTCTGTTATCTGCATCCAAATAACTAACATTGTATTTCATCAAAACCATCTACTTTTAAGACAAGGATAATGTATTTTAAAACTTTTTTTCCTACTTATCTTTAATAACAAGGGAAAGAAAAACATCTTTGTAAATCAGACTGATTTCTTTATACATTCCAGCATTATTCATATATTAAATTAAATATTGTCATTCTTAGTTTTATGCCTAGTGTTAAGCTTATCCAATTAAGTAGCTTTTTAAAAGTTAATACAATTAAACCAAGTTTTCAAGAATAAATTAAGCTTTCAAAACTAAAGATGACCTCATAAAGTAGTATCTTTTTTAAAGACATCAAAAGGTTAAAAATCAACTGTGTGTTAAACAAAATGGAAATTTATTCTCAAAACAGGGACATAATTAATTATGTTAAACACCCCAGAATACAGCAGAAATAGGTGTTCTTAATTTTACTGAATTTTAATTTTGCTTAAGTATTAGATGATGTTATTATTCACTAATCATACCAGAATTTCCATGAAAAGCAACTGTTTCTATAATTGTTACTAAAATTATATATAAAAATTTAAAAGGACAGTTAAAAATCTAAGCAGATAAAATTTCAAAGAGGTCATAATTATGTTCCTTTGTTTACATTTTCAAATAATTCCTAAGGCTTCATCAGTTTGGATTTAGAATCCCAGACATTTCTTCCCTTTTGATGTGAACCCTATTAAAGGAGTTAAGCAGCATATTTCTTCAGGCTATGAGTTACAGGAAGTCCATACGTCTTCTGAGAAATCTTGATAGGTTGCTCTACTTTGTTTTTTATATTAAATCTAACATAAAAACTAGTAAGATTTAATATCTTGGCAATGATTCCTTAATGCAACTTCCTACAAAGTGTGTAAGCCACTAACCACCATGATTGGCAGGGGAGGGGGGTGAGGGTTCAGTAACTTGGAGCGAGAATGTAAAGCTGTACGAGGTTACGTGAAACAGACTATGGCCTTCAAGATGGTTATACTTTCAAGAGAGAAAAGCCAAGTTAAACATGTACCAGAAAGAGTAGCAGCCAAACTTGAAGAAAGATATATCACAAAGCTATAAGCGTGACATGAGGATACATTTTACCACACATATCTGAAAGAAATAATTAAAATTCAAGCTTTGGAAGTAGTAGTCCTTTAGAATAAAGTAATTTTATAGTACTAACTACCCACTGACTCAGGAATACAAGACAAAACAAAATAAAACAAAAACCTAAAACCTATCCTTGAAATTGCTGGTAGAGACAAAGAATAAAAACAGAAGTTTGTCCAGAAATGTCTTTGTACAGGGAATGTCTGTTTTTCATACATTGAAAGTTATCAGAAGACATAAATAATTTTAAAACTTGTAGTTGTTTCCAGGTTTTAATTTATAATTATCCAAATAATACAAACACCATCACTTACAATCATGATATTCCTATATGAGTATACGAATTTTATCAAGAATGATTATTATGTGATAAACTGCACAAGAAACAGTAAATTAACATGTGTGTAATCAAAATAACTCATTCTATTTGTTGTAAAAAAGATACCAATTGCAATTTTAACTGCTTTAAAAAAAGTAACGCTAGGTTTCATTTAAAAAAAATTTTTTTTAAAGATTTATTTATTTTAGAGAGAGTGCACATGTGGGGGATTGGGGGCAAGGAGCAGAAGGAGAGGGAGAGAGAAACTCAAGCGGACTCTATGCTGAGCATGGAGCCAGACATGACACAGGGCTCAATCCCACAAACCATGAGATCAGGACCTAAGCCAAAACCAAGAGTCAGATGATCAACCACTGGGGCGCCCCTCACTTTTTAAAGAAATTTAAAACAATCCATTTTTAGTGATCTGATGTTCTATGAGTATAGTAACAAGTTATAACTAATCTTAGCTTTACTATCTAGTCTAATAAAATCTCTGCAAGAAAACAACCGTTCAACTATGACACAGGTAATCTAATAAGCCTCCACACGTTGGAACAAAATGGGTAATTAAAAAAAAAAAACAAAAACCTGAGTAATCAAAGAGACTAATATCTGAAATAAAAATCTGATAAATATGAATTTTTGCTGGTGGTCCTAACAGCTTATGATACAATCAAATTTAGTTAAGAGGGAAGCACTCGGAAGCCAGATGTTTAAAATGTGAAATAAATAAAAGTGCCAATAATATTGTTAAGAGAACAAACAGACATCCTAATCTTATAACCAAAGTGATTCAGTATCTATATAATTTGCCATATACTCAAATAAGGAGGAGAATACAGTAAGCATTTAATAGTGTGGACTTAGCTATAAAAGTAAAATAGCTTCATAGATCATTTCCTACACTCAATGCTTCTGAGTAAAGGACACAATACAAAATAAAATTAAAGATACTATTTAAGGAGACCGATGGGATTCTAGGGTTTTTTTTTAGTTTTAGGAAAACTTTTTTCTCTCTCCTATCTCCCATTAAGTAATAAAATGTGTCACACTGAGTTTACACAGTTAAGCTAAAATTTGAGGTCTAAAAGTTTGGTCTTATTCCTAATCTGATAGCTTGATAAAGACTTAGAAGAAAGGCACAGCGACATCTAAAAATTTATCTTTTGCAAATCAAATATGATCAAGGAGAGAGATCACTTCATTTGTTTGTTACATTGATGTATCAACTAACTAATCTCAAGATCTGTAGTTCCTATTTCTTTACCTTTTACACAGAAAAAATTCATCCCCTATTTTTTAGTGACATAAAAGCAATTTTCCTTTATTAAGCCTTCTAAACAGGGCGCCTGGGTGGCTCAGTTGCTTAAGCCTTCTAAACATCTTCATCAAATACTTATATTTAATGACCAATTTGTTCTAGGAATAAATTATAACAGTAAAAGGTTTTTTTTTATTAATTCAGCAAAGAATGATCAGTCATTACTTATACGAAGTAGTCATTCATTTACCAAGCATTTACTGAGTATTAATTGTTCCAGGAACTGTGGAAACAAAAACCAGTAATATATCACTACATGGCCATATCTACCTCAAACAAAGAACATCCATCACAAAGAGATAAATACCTAAAAAGACTTCAAAATAGAGTTTCAATTTGGCCTTTAGCATTAAGAAATATGCATTTTTAATTGGAGATTTCCCACATAATTTTTAATTAAATTTCAAAAGCAGATGCAAAATGGAAGGACTATTTTTTAAAAATTTGTAAGATACTGTAAACCATCTTTCTATTTAGGACCTTGATTCCTGTCAGATTTCCCATGTCTAGTGGAAATCGTTGAGTCTAATCATTTTAGAGAACATGTTTCAACAAATTCAACAAAAACAGGGCATGCACATTCTCTGAAAGGCAAAAATAAGCGTGTATTATTACTAAAACATGTTTACCAATTGGAATCCTTACTTTGGAGCCCACATACATGCATCCTTTGTATGACTAAATAATACCACTACCCTACTATTTTACATGGAAAAATATCTATCACTCAGTAGTTACTCATTTAAGTCCCTAATGGAACAGAGTGTAATTTTGGTCATGTACAATAAAGAGAAAAACTGAGACACAGAAATGCTAAATTACTTGCCGAAGACCTGAGAAAAACTTAGAGGCAAACCAAAAATGACAGCTGGAACCCAGTATCACAGTTAACGTATTAAAGGAAGTCAATTTCCCAATGATATTAAAAAACTACACGTGTAAATTCACATATACACATATACAGATAACTGAAAAAGCCAGGAAAATAACTAGGAAGGATTTTTTTATATAGCCTGAATTACATAGAGAAGTGTGGTTTCAAAATCAAAGCTACTGAACAGCAGGTTCTAGTGGGTCACACACATTAGTTCAAAGGAACTTGAGAAAATATAGTATATTCAGTAAAATACTAAATTACCACCGAAGAAGTTTATAAGAGAACCTAACAGACATACATAATAAGTATAATGTATCTCTGACTAAGCACTGAAATATATCTTTAGGAAAAATAAAGTCTACTTTAAAATGTCTTAAAATTAAAGTTAAAAAATAGCATGTGTACATAGTATTTAAAATGCAACTTAATCATGAAAGTGTAGACTTTGGGGGGGTGATTTGCAAACAATAATGGTGCCAATTACAAAATAAAAGAGATGTTAGAGGAAATGGCCAATATTAACTTATGAGACTGCCTTTTTAAACACATGAAATTCTACATAAAAAAAAAAATTCTTCTTTAACCCAAGAGCAATAGTGCTTAAACTGAATATGTATTTTTTTACAGAAGAATCACATTATAACCATAAAACATTTTATGGCATTGCTTTATATCCAACTTATTTTATCCTCAAAAACATTAATATATATTTATAAAACATTTAATTCCCTCTTCATTACCTCTTTAAAACCTTTGCAGAAAATCTGTGATGTTGTCTTCTTAAGGCAAAACCAAGGAAGACTTTGTATATTCATCATTTCTAGAGTAACAAAAATATCTTTACCTTCTGGAAGACTTTCCACAAAATCCCAGACACTGGCACGTTATAATAATGCAATTAGGAATGGAAATTTTATAACAGAAATTAATTAAATAAATGATAGGAAAGGCTAATACTACTTTAAAAATCTCATCAAGAATCGAAGAAAGATTGTACCTACTTTTTTTTAATGACAAAATAATGATGTGTTGGAGATGCTCTTGTTATAGTTTTAAAATAAAAATTGAACTTATGTCCAAGGTTCTTTGAAATATATGACCAAGCAAATAAAATAAATAAATAGAAACCGGGTAAAAATGTATAGGTCCTACACCAAAACTGTCACGAATCAGCTTCCTATCTTGAAAAAATAAGTAAGAGGATTGATATTTACATAGTTTCAAATAATTAAAGAGAAAATAACCAGTTCTCTAAGTTTTTAACTACTGTTTCAAATTGATCATGTCCCATGATGCAACCCTCAGCCCCAAGGGGATTTCCTTTAGATTGAATTTTTGTTTATTATATAAGACTGTTTTATGGGGTTTTTTCTTTTATTTATTTTTATTGTTTTATGTATTCCATCATGTTATGCTTATGGTTGGGATTTTTTTTTTTTTTTTTTACATAAAGAAAATTGTACTGTGGTCAGAATTATTCATGTGTATCTTCTGATACAGGAACTACTCTATCCTAAATTTAAATGAGTTTCATCTCCAGGAGAGCTCTCATGACATTCTATATGTATTACTTCAGAGAACACTGACCAAACATGATAGACCTTCTTAACTTTGTGGAAGCACTTTGTATTTCTTCACTGGAATTTTTATTTTCTCCTTATTTTCTTTAATGATAGTATAAAAAACTCATAAAATTTAAAACTGCACGCCTTTATTTGATGAATTAAAACAAATAGAAATTAGTTTTTAATGACAAATAAATGACATCATTTTGGAAGCAAATATTTAACATCATTTAACAGTGCTAATATACCTTTTAACAACTCACTCTTTTTGAAACATTTAATTTCTGTGCCCTCAGTTAATTTCACGGCTTTATCAAAAGACAATTTTTGAAAGAAATCAGAAATGGTTTCCTTAACATACTAAAAGACTATGTGTCACTGTCCTTTGAAAGAATGATACTACTTTTAAATTAGATCTCCTTTTGCTGCTCACCCACTTCACCCATTCTCCATCTCACCCAGGGCTTTGAATAATTTCTTCATCTCAGCAAAAGAGGCAAAGGCTAAAATTAGCAGTCTCTGGACCCTCAGGAATAGCCACTGTGCAACATCAGCTGAGATTCCTGATTAGCATTATGTCTGATAAAAAAAAAAAAAAAAGTACCAAAGCAAAACAAAGAAACAAAGAAGAAAACAAAACAAAAAAACAAAATCTATCTAGGCCATCTTTTCACCTTTCTTTATTTCATGAGAGAAGCATTTAACACATTCGTTTTGATAAATGGTAAGGAAGTGCTAATGAAGCTCTTGTCATTAAAAAAGAATCCTTCTTATCATTATTACTAATAAACTTCAACTTTTATAATATGTAACAAGTTAGTAACTGTATTGTTTTATGAAATAAAATAATAATCTTCGCACAAAGATCAAATTATTTTTGTGGCCTCTACATACAGAGCATTACCAACTGCTCTTGTCAAGAGAAAATTGTTTCTTGTGTTCAAAATCCAGATTATCACTCTTAATTACACCTACAGCCAGAGAATAACCATGTGTGGCAGGTTAATAAGTGGATGAAATCTGTTTCTGAACTATTTCCACTAAATAAGATTTTAAGAAAGGTCCTATACTGTGATTTTTTTCCCCCATTATATCTGTGATGAGAAAATGATGAAGATGGAACCTTAATCCCCTAAAGACAAAGTCTCAGCATGCAATTTACCTGACAAGATTTTCATTGTCTCCAGTTCCCTTGCAAGTTGCACATTCAGTTCGCAAATCTTCAGCCTTAGGCTTCTTTTGTAACGCAGACTGCCTTTGCCTTCTCTCTCTAGGAATTCTTTCCTGCCATACAAAGGAAAAAAACCAAAACATAAAACAAAATCAGGATATGAGGAAAAAAGAAGTAATTTAAACAAGAAAGTTTCTCCAAGTTTAGACTGTGTAAAAAATGCTTAACTTATTCCAACCTCATGTTTTTCTTCCTCAGGAATGAAGCTTCGCTTTCGTCCTCTGGTTCTCTAAGAAAAAAAAAAATTCCACAAAAATATCTAATGTGTAATTAATAATAAAAATAAATATTCTCTGTTTAATGTTACTGCTTAACTTAAGCACTTGGAAAATTAGTATTTCTAATTAATACTGTATTGCTCTAGTGCACTATGTTACAATTTATGTCACAAGAGATAAAAACATGACAAATTAAATGCACTTTATAAGCGCTTTACTTTTAAATTACACAACTGCCCGATAGGAAAAGTAAGTTCTTCAAAATCAGCTGGAATGACTTCTCAACACTTCACACATGTCACACAATTATGATTTATCCAAAGCATTTAAACTTTCATAACTTATATGACTTCTATAGCCAAAATGCTAAACCTGGACTCATACTACTTCTAGTACTCCTGTGTGTGTGTGTGTAGAGTATATACATGTTTGTATAACATAACCAATTTTTAACTTCCATCAAAAAGTGGGAGTAAAAGATCTCAGATGTCCCCAAATCCTAAATGAAATAAAACTAAAACTCGGGTTCCACGCTGGGCATGGAACTGACTTAAAAAAAAAAAAAGAAAGAAAGAAGAAAAAAAACCAAAAAAACAAAACCTAACTAAAACATGGTATAAATGACTTATTTTACACTATTTAGTTGAAATTTTACATCCTATATATCAGAACACATTTATCATTAAAATGATGACATCTAAATGTTAAAAGTAATAAAAATACAATAGTATTTGCATACAATATGTTCAAAATCTCCACCCACATTGCATAGCCTCTGTAGATTTATAATCCGTGTGTGCAGACCATAGTTCTTTAGAGACTGAAAGAGAAAGGAGGCACCATTCCCACAAATTCTTTTGTCTGACTGCTAAGATCAAGGAACATTCCCAAACAATCCTAAACAGAATTGATGTCCAATACAAGTACCCTGATGTTTTCCTAAATTTCTGTCATTTCAACTCTTAATAATATTGACTCCCTTGTTATTTAATACCATGGCTAATTGCATACTGTTTAATCTGCCCAAAGATAACCAACAGTTGACTAAATTAGTCATTCAAAAGAAGTAATTTTAGGGGCGCCTGGGTGGCTCAGTTGGTTAAGCGACTGCCTTCGGCTCAGGTCATGATCCTGGAGTCCCTGGATCGAGTCCCGCATCGGGCTCCCTGCTGGGCGGGGAGTCTGCTTCTCCCTCTGACCCTCCCCCCTCTCATGTGCTTGCTGTCTCTCATTCTCTCTCTCTCAAATAAATAAATAAAATCTTAAAAAAAAAAAAAAAAGAAGTAATTTTATAAACTATGTCTTCATTTACATTTGTATTGCTAATCAGTATGTTCTAATTACATTATGGAATAAGTTGGAATAAGTAAGACTATATCCAGGAAACGGCTTTAAATGCAGGCCCTACATATGGCTATTCTTACTTCTAAAAAACAACACTGAGCCTTGCTCTTCAAAATATCAATCATAGCTCATAAGCACTGGCATGCCCTGGGAGTTTGTCGGAAACATCGAAGCTCATGCTCACTTCACCGTACTGAATTAGAATCTGCCTTTTAACAAGATCTGCAAGTAAATTATACACACATTAAAGTCTGAGAACATCAGTGTAGAAGAGTCCTTAATACTGACAACACTTATCCAAGTTCTACCTAAAACCTTTAGGCTAGCTCTTTACATATTCATCTTTCCTCTCTGTGACATTCCTGTCCTTTATGCTTCAACTTCTGTCCTCCGACACAATTCATCATAAAACTGGTAAGAACCATGCCATATTCATCATTCTATACCCAATTAATCTTTTTTTTTTTTTTAAAGATTTTATTTATTTATTTGAGAGAGAGAGAATGAGAGACAGAGAGCATGAGAGGGAAGAGGGCAGAGGGAGAAGCAGACCCCCTGCTGAGCAGGGAGCCTGATGTGGGACTCGATCCCGGGACTCCAGGATCATGACCTGAGTCAAAGGCAGTCGCTTAACCAACTGAGCCACCCAGGCACCCTATACCCAATTAATCTTAATACAGTATGTATTACATAAAAGCTCAATAAATTTGTTTTAATAAAATAGTAAGTGGTTAGATTAAAACTCATAAATAATTACACTAGAGAATGCAAATGATAAAAGAGTCGACAAAATGGATAAATTACTGTTCCCTTTGCCAGTAATCTATTTTTCAATTTGCATAATTTATGCATAAGGGCATTTCAGTCAGGTGATCCAAATAACTGATATCAAAGGGAAAATATTCAGGGCATCTGGCTGGCTCAGTTGGAAGAGCATGTGACTCTTGATCTTGGGGTCATTAGTTCGCCCCCATGTTGGGTGCAGAAGTTACTTAAATAAAACTTTATAGAAAAAGGGGGGGAATATTGAAATGACTCATTTCAGTTCTATAAACATCTAAGAATGCTCAAAAGGCCTCACACATTTTCATATTTCTCTTCATTCAACGCATCTTTAGGTAATGAAGTAGGAATTCAGTTTACTACTTTATTTAGTAATAAACTACTATTACTAGTTGGGTGGTTTTTTTTTTTACAGAAGTCAACTACTACTAGTTTTTTTAAATTATCTAACCATTGAATTTTTGAAGTACATATATTAATTTTTGAACTACTTTATCTAGTAGCAAAGTACTATTAATTTTTGAATCATCTAATCATTGAATTAATTTTTGAAATAGATGTGAATGCTCTAAGTTCATGTTCTCAATTCTTTTGAAGATATACAATAATTTACCATTTCTTTATTGGGGGAGGAGGGAGAAGGAGAGAGGGAGAGAGGAGGGACAGAGGGAGAGAGAGAATCTTAATCTTAAGTAGGCACCATGCCCAGCAAGGAGCCTGACGCGGGGCTCAATCTCACAACCCTGAGATCATGACCTGAGCTGAAATCAAGAGTCAGATGCTTAACTGACTGAGCCACTCAGGCACCCCAATAATCTACCATTTCTTATTAATACTTTAAACCTTTAAACCTCTGGTATGATTCCATCAATTCGAAGTTTCTAATATCTATACCGAAATTAGTATCATACAGCATAATGCCAATAAGTGACAATGACAGTTACATTTCTCTATAAATTTCTTCTATGTATGTCTTATTAAAGTGCTATTTTTAAAGTGAATATATTTATAATTATCTAAAACAGTCATTTTCAATTAAGTACATTTATTATCAAATGATAATCACTGATGTATTCCTGTGGTAATTTTAAATGACTAAACAATTTCCAGCCAGAAAAACAGAAGTGTTAAAAGCAATATGAAATTATAGCATCTTGGAGTTCTGAAAAAGCAGTCCAATGAAGTGACCTAATTATCACACAGCTGGTAACTGACAGAAGTAAACTGCAAACCCAGGTATCTCAACTCTGAATTCAGTGATTTTTCTTCCCTGCCAAATCCAAGGTTAATAGTATAATGCAAGTAGAGATGAGTAAAATTATTACGAGAAAGCAAATCTCTTATTCTGACTTGAATACTTAAATAAACTCTAACACTGTGATGCCTAAAGGAAGAATTCTTCTATTCTGAAACAAGTAGAGACTTTTACCCAATGAAGAGGAGACCTCAATACCTTAAATTGACACTATATTCTACCCAGTTTGGTATTTTATACAGTACAGTGACTAACATGATCCATTACCAAAGTAAATTACAGCAAGCATCTTCTTTGGCATTTACCATACCAGTAATATTTCCAAAGGAAAAAAAAAAAAAAAGGAAAGAAAAGAAAAAAAGAGGATTTAATCCAAACACAACTTTTCATAAATACCAAGTCCTCCAACCAGGAAAATACTGACAGTTCTGGGTTTTCTTTCCTTTTTTTTTTTTCTTCCTAGTTTTAATAACGTGGCAGCAACTGTAAGTATGAGACTTCATGACTGCCTATAATCGCAATAGACAAGATATCTTAAACACGGTGTCCCTGAAAGAATTCGAAAATGTTAAGAAGAATTAAAAGAAGGAAGAAATTATGCAAAAAGGAGTAACAAAAACGTTTGGCTCATCCAACAAAATTCAATTATCCAAAAGCTTGCCCCATCTTAGATATATAGAAGTATTCATAACTGGGTGGTCATTTCATGATATACATGAGGCTGACACTATTTTAGAAGCAAAAAAATAAAGCAGCAGGGTAAAAATAGCATGTGGAAAAGGAAGAATTTTATTTATCAAGTATATGTTTTAGAACTTAACACAAATGTATTACCTCTAAGTTCCAAATGACTGAGGGTTCAATTGCAAATTGTGCTTTCTTTTGTAATTATTAAGGTATTAAGAGTGAATGAAAATTTGAAACTCGCTCCAAAACTTGACATGTTTCTATTTTTTTTCTGTGTTATTTTGTAAGAATTTTATTCGCCTAAGGAACAAGAACAATCTGTGCTGCATAGATCACCTGGCTCTTTATCTGCCTATGGTACATTTTCTTGAAAACAGAAGGTGATAAAATATCCACAAAGACAGTAGCATGGTATTACAGACAATGTATATAAGTTAAAAAGGAATAAAGTATTTTAGCTATCATCACTTTAATAGTTTATTCATCTGAAACAAATAATTAAATGTTTCAATAACTTTACTCTTTTGGACTAGAAAACCTGTAACAAATTTTAATTAATTCTTTAGCGCTGGGGTTATTTTAATTTATGATGAAGTTAGATGCATGATGATTTTCTCAAGGTTGGACGGATTCATTTGACAAATGAACTAAATTTAAAACTAAAAAACAGTGCCTCAACATCTTTGATATCACTAAGATGGCTTTCACATATTCATTGTGTACTGTTTTCCCTAAATTTAAAATGGATTTTTTTTATGACAGTTAATAAATAAGCTGTATGTGGTTACAAGAAACATAAGGAATGCCTCCCAATGTAATTTCTATACAAAAAGACAAATGTTTCTTCATGAACAAAATTCCAAATTCAATGTTAATTAGGACAATTAGGTCAAACCTTGAAAACCTCTGTCAAGCTAAAATTCAGATTTATGCCGAGGAATA